AGCTTCCACACCACCAATCTTCGATCCGACCGTCCAGAATGAAGATCAATGTGTCTAGAAGCTTCTTTCAAAATCTCAGCCTGATCCAACGGTGAACGAGCTAGAAATCGAAGAAAGAGCACAGGCTGCTCTGCTGCCTCTTCTTCTCTTTTTCTCTTTTAATTTTCTTCTCCTCTCTTCTAATTTCAATCTTTTAGCTACAGTACCCGAACCATATTAATATTTACATCAAGAGACAGCCATCACATGACATTTAATGTGATGGTCCCACCATCACATGGTGTGGGACCATACACAACAAAACTAAACTATAATTAAACAAAAAGAATGAGGTTATCTTTCGAAAACATTAACAGCAGGCAATTTTATTAGACCTTTTGGATATCTTATTACCCTTACCTTATTATCCTATTATCAATCGAGTCCCATACATTTTGATATTATCAATTTTATCCCAACATTAGACAAGATTAATTTTCTATTCATACGTTGTTGGTGGCAATTTGAAAGATTCCATCTCTTACACATACCTAATTTTCATGTTGTTAACTACAAGAATTAAAAGTGTGGGAATTGTTAATTATTTCCAAAAAAATTAATGTTATTTTAAAATTAATCTCCTCGAGATTGGCTAGCTAATGTTTAAATTAGTTAAAACTCAAATTAAAAAACCTTGGTCAGCATTCAACGGTCGTCTTATCAACACCTTGTCAGCAACGGCACGCAAAACCAATACATACAAACAAATAGAAAACATAAATATAAAAAATATCATAGCAAATCAAAGCTAATCTCTACTCCCTAGTCTTCAATACAATGCTTTCGTTGCGCCTCCGCTCCTCAGTTTGCAAGACCCTTCCTCCTCAAAAATTATTTCAATTCTTTAGTCATCAAAAGACCAGTGATGACCAAACACACGGCTTTCCTCCACTTGCCGCAAAGAAAACGAACTCCGGTCTCAAAGAAGAGGAGAAAGGAGGATTAGAGCAAGCTATGCAGTTGCCGGAGGGATTAAGCAGAGAGTCCATGCCCCGGCATGTTGCTGTAATCATGGACGGAAATTCCAGGTGGGCTCGGCAACGAGGGTTGCTCACACCTTCAGGTCATGAAGCTGGTGTGAGGTCATTGAAAGAGTTTATAAGGCTTTGCCTTCAATGGGGTATAAAAGTTGTCACCGTTTTTGCATTTTCTATAGATAATTGGACGAGGCCTAAGGAGGAGGTTGATATCGTCATGACTATGATTGAGAATCTGTTAAAGTCTGGTTTGGATGATTTTATCAGGGAAGGTACTCGAGTCTCTATAATAGGTGATACCTCAAGGGTCCCAAAGTCCTTGCAGAGAACGATATGTGGCATAGAAGAGATGACAAGAGAGAACTCAAAATTCCATTTCATCATGGCTATCAGCTATAGCGGGACATTTGATGTTGTACAAGCATGCAAAAGTGTTGCTCAAAAGGTAAAGGATGGTGTTATTCAAGTGGAGGACATCAATGAAAGTGCAGTTCAACAGGAATTAGAAACCAAGTGTTGCGAGTTTCCTTGTCCTGATTTGTTAATAAGAACAAGTGGTGAACTTAGAATTAGCAATTTTTTGCTGTGGCAGTCAGCCTATAGTGAGCTTTTCTTTGCAAAAGCACTATGGCCTGATTTTGGAAGGGCTGATTTCGTAGAGGCCTTAACTTCATATCAGCATAGGCAGAGACGTTATGGTGGTCGATATTCATAATTACACTAACCCTTTAAAATTTCCAGTTCTATACTTGTTAGGAATAAGTTCTTCATGATTAGTTCAAGAACAAAGATTTTGTACCTGTGTTTTGATGTTCTGTTTTCTGTGTTTAATTATCCTTTAACAAACATATTATGCTTTTAAAATCTGTGTAAGAAGAGCAATGAGCCTTGTACCTCTCCCTCTTTGTAAAAATAAGAATGAAATAAAAAGTCCAGACATCAGAAAAGTCTTGGCCATTAGAAAATTCAGGCACGAGAGGAGAGGAAGAAAGTGGAATGGAGAAAAACAAAGCCACAAAAGCAGCAAATTAAAAATATTAGGAATATCACGGTATTATTGAAATCCACAATGTTAAGGAGTGGGTGTCTTACCATAACTGAAACGGAAAAACGCAATGAGTTTTAATTTTTTTCATAATTGTAACTATAACCGTAATTAGTCACAAATTGTCTATGGTGAGAGAAATTAAGGGAGAAATTAATGCCCGCATATATATAATTAAAAAAAAAAAACCACCTAGTAAAGTTAATGTGCACAAAAGCACACATTGCTATTTATTAGAACAATGTAAATATGGTGTCGCCTTTCCACAGCAAAATCTTTGAACTGGGGATAATTCAGTTTTTTTTTTTTTTGCATCAATTGGGCCAAATTGATCTTCTTTAATTTGTTGCACGATAAAATAATTAAAAAGCTATTAAAAACAAAAATTATTATACTGATATTCGAGACTTATTCATCTTTTTAGTTTTTTTAAAATACAATAAAATAACTAATATACCCTTACAAATAAAAAAAAAATTCTTTAACTGACACACATATGCTGTTTTATATTTTTCTCATGGGTTTTTTATTATAATCAAGTTAATATATAGTAAATTTAGTCATTTAACTTTTATACATATACATATACATATACATATACATATATATATATATGCATATACATATAGATATATAGATATGCATATACATATACATATATATATATATGTATATGTATATCTATATATATATAGGTATTAATAAATAAAAAGTAGTTAACGTTAATTTGTAACACATGGGTAGCTCCTGTGCCATTTAGGCACTGCTTGTGGCAAACGAACTTGTGGTTTGGCAGGAAAAACTGTTTTTCTCTTCTTTTCTTTTTAATTTTCATGTTAAACCTTTAAAATTTCAAACAATATTTTAATTTGTTTTTTTTTTAAATTTAGTTTATATAATTCAAAAAAAAAGAATTTCAATTGTATCTTTCTTTAATTTTTTTCATTTATCAGATTAAATACTCATTTTTTTATTACTATTTGTTTTATTTGAGAAGATTTTTAAAATTAAATTTTTCTTATGATTTCATCTTCCTTCAAAAAAAATTTTATATTAGATTTGATCTTAATGTTTTGGTTGATATTTTTTTTTGTAATTTTATTTTAATTATTAAATTGGTTAGAAATTGAGCATTGATCTAGGATTTCATGGGTTTTGAGTTTGAGGGATTAATCAAAATTTAGAATATTTACTTGGGTTTGCTATTTTTTTTTAAGCTCATATCTTTTTGTTTCATTATTTAACATTTATTTAATTAGTTTTGAAAATGACTCAGGTTATTTCAACTTTTTTTTATTTGTTTTTCACTACCAGAAATTCGCTAAATAGCAACGGATTTACCAATGGAATAATTCTATTGGTAATTTGAGGTTGAAATTACCAACGGTTATATTTCGTCCGTAATTCGGTCGGTAATCACCGACAAAAATTTTCCATTGGTAGTTACCGACTGAATTATGAACGAAAACGTCACCGTCATAAAAATCAAAAAACAGGTCGCTGACATGGAGGTTTTGGCGGGTTATTTTTCCAGACGGAATCACCGACAGATTCAAAAAGACAGGTCGTACAACGACCGCCATTTATATTGCCGACGGATTTGAAATGGAAGATCCGTACGGTGACATGTCGATTGTGCCGTCAGAATCACCGACGGAAAATCCGTCGAGAAAAGTTAATATATGTTCACCTACCGACCCTCTCCTCCCCTATTTCTCCTTCTTTCTAATCCCAACTCTCCCCAACTGCAACCAGCCCCCCATCCCCCCCAAACAAAAATCTCCCTCGTATCAGCAAATCAAATTATATTTCTTGAAGTTTTGTGGTCACAACATTCATGTTCTGATTTACCGACGGATTTTATCAATTTTTGTAAGTAATTCTTTCTTTTTAAATCTTAATCTTTAATTAAATGTCAATTTTATTATTTTTTTAGTATATGTATTTTGTTAGTAAATGTACATGTTTTATTGTTATTTGTCAAACAAACTTGTAGTATATGAATGTATAATTCTATACCTGTTATGGTTTGTTTTAAATTTTGTAAGATTGTATTTGTTTGTAAATTGTTAAAACTTTATGGAACTACCGAAGTACATGTGCTGTTTTGAAATAATTAATAGCTTACTTATTGGGTTCGTTTAAAGTTTTGTCAATGGTATTGTGGAGTGGTAATTTATCTGTAAATTTATATATTTTAATTTGTATGGACGTTAATAAATGATAATAAATTTTTAATATTTGTGAGAAGTTGTGATTGGTTTGTTGGATAATCTCGAGGTAAAGTAATATTTTTGCAAGTTTATTTACATAACTTAGTTAATTAATACATTATGTCATCATAATTTTATAGAGGTTCGATATAAATCATGGATGATCGTTCATGGATGTATCGAGATTCACCCCAAGGATTGCGGAGGATGGATTATTGTAACGGGGTTCAGGGTTTTATTAATTGTGCAACATCTATTCCTAGAAATTTTACTGGAGGCGGTATTAGGTGTCCATGCAGGAAGTGTCAAAATAAAAAGTATCTGCATCCAGATGTTGTAATGATGCATCTTCTACACAAAGGGTTTATGGAGAATTACCAGTGTTGGTATGCACATGAAGAAGTATATGTTAGTGAGAGGAGAATAGAAGAAATGGTGGTTAGGTCTACTTCTAGTGCTAGCAACGAGAATGACAACACTAATTCTTACAGAAACATGGTTGTGGATGCAATGAGAATGAATCAAGGTAATGTCAGTCAATGTCCAATCGTAGAAGAAGAACCTAATGTAGATGCAGCTAGGTTTTTTGATTTGTTGAAAGATTCTGACGAACCATTATGGGATGGCTGCACGAACCACTGTAAATTATCGGTCGTAGCACAGGTGTTCACCATTAAGTCAGAGCACGGGTTGAGTGAGGCCAGGTATGACAAGATTATTGAATGAGCAAGAAGCATTTTACCCGAAGAGAACAGGCTGAAAGAGAACTTCTATGCTGCGAAGTCCATGATGAAACCCCTCGGTTTAAGATACCAGAAAATTGACATGTGCCCCAACTTCTGCATGTTATACTACCTTGAAAATGCTGAGATGACCGAGTGCATGACATGCGGGCATTCCCGTTACAAACCTAGAACTAGTAGGGGAAAGACTCTAGTGGCATATAAAAAACTTTGATACTTCCCAATCACACCTAGACTACAGAGGTTATTCATGTCACCAAGGACTGCTAAGCACATGACATGGCACCAAGCACACCATATGGTTGATGGAGTGATGGTTCATCCTTCTAACGGTGAAGCGTGGAAACGCTTTAATAGTGTTCATCCTCAATTTTAAGTTGAATCAAGGAATGTGCATTTTGGGTTGTGTATAGACGGATTCAACCCATTTGGGTCATTTGCTGCTCCTTGTTCTTGTTGGCCGGTCATACTCATAGTTTATAACTTGCCACCGGGAATGTGTATGAGGCCGGAGTTCATGTTTTTATCTACTGTCATACCCGGTCCAAGCAGCCCAGGACGGAATATAGATGTTTGTCTTTGACCGTTGATTGATGAATTGGCACAGTTGTGGTCCTTCGAAGCTCTGACTTATGATATATCAAGGAAACAAAATTTCCTTATAAGGGCAGCTTTGATGTGGACTATCAATGATTTTTCAACTTATGGAATGCTTTCTGGTTGGAGCACGCATGGGAAACTCGCATATCCATACTACATGGAAAACAACAAGTCATTCATGCTAGCAAATGGACGCAAATCTTCTTTTTTTTACTGTCACCGTCGCTTCTTGCCACTTAATCACAGGTACAGAAAGAACAGAAAAGATTTCTTTGTTGGTAGAGTTGAAAAAGATGTTGCATCCCCACGTCTTTCTGGTGAAGAATTGCATGATGTTGTCTTAGAGTACGGTGACATTGTGTTTGGCCTTTAATCAGGTAAGCAAAAGTTTCCTGGTTTTGGTTTGACCCATAATTGGGTAAAGCAAAGTATATTTTGAGAGCTTCCTTATTAAAAGACCAATATGCTCTGCCATAACCTTGACGTCATGCACATCGAAAAGAACATGTTTGAGAACATTTTCAACACCGTCATGGATGTGAAGGGGAAGACAAAGGACAACATCAAGGCTAGATTGGATATAGCTTTATATTGTAACCGTAAAAATATGAAGTTGGTTTATGATGAGTCATGGGTCGCAAAACCAAGAGCAAGCTTCGTGTTAGAGAAAAACGCACAACTGCTAGTCTGCAAATGGCTTAAGAGTCTGCGTTTTCTAGATGGACATGCATCGAACATATCACAGCTGGTTAATGTAGAGGACTGCAAATTGTATGGAATAAAGAGTCATGACTGCCACGTGTTTATGCAAACACTCATCCCATTAGCTTTTCATGATTTGTTGCCAAA